CGTGAACTGAACTCGTCCATTCGGCGGAGTCATGCAGAGACCACGGTGGGAGACCCAAGTCAGCTTCCTGATCGTGCGCCGCTTCGGATGGCGATGCCCAACAGTGCTGCCCAGACACTGGTTTGTCTGATAATGGCTGTTCCCAGGCATTGGCCCATGGATTGTCCATGCGGGCCCACCTGTATCGCGTCAGTCCGTGCACACTGAGGAGCTTGAAATCAAAGGCAGAGCCTCAGTTATCGCACGTGATCTATAGTCCACGTGACTGCCTGTTTTGCCATACAATTGGGGTTTCCTCGGGCTTGCACTGCTCACCACAGTCTACTGCCAAGTTCACACTTGCCATGGCTTTGGACATCGCCAACGGCGATCGCAGCATTCTTGAGTGGGACGAGGACCAAGTTCATGAGTGGCTTTCTCAACGAGGCTTCCCACAGTACGAGCAACAGATCAAAGGTGAGACTACGCTTACTATTGACAAGGCGCAGCATTCATTACTTATCTATCGCACCGTTTGGAAACATCAGAACATCGTATCGCTGGTGATGTGCTTTGCATGCTTGATGCACAAGCTCTCAAGACTATCGGTGTCGCTACTGTCGGCCAGAGAATAGCAATTCTCAAAGCAGTCTACCAGGCGAAACTTGCGTGTCGTGTTCCGGTCGAGTCACACCATTACGTCCCTCCATGTAGGCATAAACATTAATGTGAGGCATGTGACAACCGAGTCCTAACACCTTACAGCTGAATTAGAGGAGCGTGTAATTTCGGTCGAGAAGCTGCAAGACCTCATCAGAGAACAGGGTCATTGTTCCTCTTTTCAAGGGTACCCTATGTTTATCTCACGCCCTTTCACGTGCAGCCTTCCGCGTACAAATACTGGAGGAAGATAATAAGCGTCTAAATGAAATTCTCCAACATATCCTTGACGAATTCAGTGCTATGCGTGGCTCTACCCGACCAGTACGTAGGACCGGCAGCCATCCAGTTCACGGATTCACGTTTGCTACTTTATTAGGACGAACATTCGTTACAACGTCAGCCATCCTTCAAGTGGGCTCAATTCGTCAATCCTGCCAAGTCCCCCACTAAACCTGACGCGGAATCGCCTCGCCTCTCCCCCCAACACATGGAGCACGAAAGTTCTCAGAGTCGTTCGAGTCAGGCGAACCAAGTCCAAGCTCCTTCCTCGACCTCACGAGGGGTGCCTACACCCCCAGCTGAATCTCCAGGCGCCTCGAGTCAACAACCGTCAGCCTCCTCAAGAACAAATTCAAACCGCCAGGAAAGCACTGACAACCTCAAAAGCTTCAAGGTCAGCCTGGAGGACCCAACCTGGAAGGTTTTACCGGCTGCTCTGAAGAAGTACAAGATCAACAATGACAGCTGGCAAAATTACGCCATGTTCATTTGTTATGGCTCCCCTGGTGTGTGAAGCTAATGCGAAGTTGTATTTCACCTCTTACCGTGATGACCCTAGGAAATCGTATCGAACGATGTTTGAGCTACGACGAAAAACCTTTGTTACTCTTCCAGAAGCTCAAGGACGCAAAAAAGAATCCGGTTTTCATGCTCAAACATATCAAAGATATTCGGTCGCCCATCGCCGTTGCTCAGCAAAAGCAAGCATTGCGAAAAGCCTCTATCACATCCGAGCATTCACACAGTCACAATAAGCCCGCCGCAACAAATGAGGGGAAAGCCGGCTCACCTCCACCCAAGTTGGAGGTCAACGAGCTGTCGCCTCCAGCTCCACTGCTGACAGGGACTACACCTCAGCCTGGGTGGCCGGACGTTATGTCACCCACGACAGAGAACAAGTGTGGGGAGGATGTATCCAGTAATCGGGATACATTATCATCTGCGACGACTCTCGTTAACAGTGCACAGAGCACGGCAGATAGCATGAAGTCTCGAAGCACAACCGTTTGCTCAACGGATAGTGACAGTACGAGGAGGGAAATGCCACCGCCAATGGCCGGCGTTTCGTATGCGGTTGCTATATATCCGTACATGGCAGAGCAGGAGGATGAGTTTGATGTTGTCGTGTAAGTGCATGTACAGAATATGGCATCGAAAGGCAGTGCTGACGAGAGTACGAACTACGAAGTGGTAATGCGTTTGTGATTTTGTCACGGGCTCGCGGTTGGTGGGTGGTCCAACGCGACCCAACAGGCTCTGGTGCCGTGGACACCGACACCTCGAAGCAAGGTTGGGTGCCCGCGGGTTGCCTTCTTGAAACAAACGTCCCCGTCGCATCTGCTATAGCAGAAGCTACCGCTGCTGCGAAGGCATCGGGCGCCTCTGATGCCGATTCTAAAACGCCTATTCTTCCTCTGAGCATCATATCGACGAGTTTCCCCGGTATCGCATTGATGGATTACAAAAAGAAGGGAGAGGAAGAGCTCGATTTGGTGAAGGACGATGCCGTACGAGTATTCAAGCGGTATAATCATTGGTCATATGTGAGTATCACCTATTCCAAAGTTACTTCTTCCGTTGACTTGTACACAGGCCGTGAAAGAGGACGGTGGCGATCGTGGTTGGGTTCCGGTATGTTTAGTTCGTTTATGGATTTACGACTTAGCTGACAAGTCGTCAGTCATGGTTCATTGGTAAGGTGCCGACGCCAGGAGGTGCACCTCCGACGCCAGGTCCTGCTTCTGCACCGGCCATGAGTGGTGGACCCTCGTTGTCGTTAGATGCCGGGGATTCGTGCCAAAACCAAGTTTCACCGATGTCCTCTGCTTTCCCAGTGCAAAATCGCAGTGGGGTAATGTGATTTGTATCATGACTGCCTTCCTCCCCGTTTTTCCATCACTGACTGTATCTATTACATAAAACATTCTGCTGCGCGGACACCTCTTTTGTTTGGTACCCACTTTTCAATTGGCTTTATAGTTGATCTTATTGCTCTCCTCCACTCGTTAATGCTACATTCTCCAACTCTTTGCAAGGTCTATCAGATTTAGTACTACAGGGTTAATCTTATGACGGCCGTGGTGCTGGGAGATGCATTTACACGTCTTCCTCGCCATATGATCTGGAAGACGCAGGTGTGCCACTCTTTATTTCTTCTTACGGACAGTCGTCCTGTATCGTAAATGACCAAATCATCTGTGCAAATGATGGTATACGACCCTCGCTACGTGCCGTGGAAAAGAGTGTGGAACAGTAACAGTCCTCGCAAGACTGGGATCACTAGGTCAGTCCGATTAGTTTCCCTTAGTCCATAATCCATTCGTTGTTCTAGATGCAAATTCCCAGGGCTTTTATGACGAGCGATAAGTACCACCCAGTCAGCCCCCAAACTTCTAACTTCTCACTGCCAATTTGCTCGACGAGGTCATGATTTGCATCGCTCCGTATCCGGATGCGCTGAGGGACGAGATCAGAGACGTCAATGGTCCAATAGGGCCGCGACGAGCGATAAAGGCCAGGTTGGAGACGTGTCTGAGATGTAAATGCAGACAGGGGTAGATGAAATACAGCAGCTACCTCGGCTTGGGAGAGTATAAGCGAATCAATGTTCAACGAGGGCAGTGGTGCATCTGGCCCTTGGTCTGGAGAAGCGGTTCCCGGGGGATAGACGAAGCCCTGGTAATGTGCGTCAGGATGATACAAAACCTAAATAACCCTGCACGCGTACAACGTACGGCCACACACGCAGACCCTTCAAGCTGCGCTCTGGGGGCCCGAGATGACCGAGTACGTCTACCTCGTCTGCAGGCACGCCTACTTCTTCACGCACTTCACGCAGAGCTGCGGCTTGGAGGGATAAATCAGCCTGGCTGGCCGTTAGTAACGGTGTCCAACTTTTTAAATGTACTATTAATTTGCCGTACTTCGTCTACTTTGCCACCTGGAAAACTATGATTCGATTCATCAATAATCCTGACCCCCGCATGACGATGATCGCCTACGTGCCTGACTTCCCCTGGGTGCGACGTGAGGTTTCCCCTAACTTCTAGGAGTACCCCAGGCACGCCATCTGCATTACAGAGTGGAACGAGGACTGCTGCATGGGATTCGTTCAGATTGGGTTCGCTGCTTGTTAATCCAGCGCTGGTCGCATAGTCCGAAAGTGCTCCCCGAATCGTGTCAAGGGAATTACGAGTGAACAGTGTGGTGAGTGAGATGATGGAATTGGACTTTGATGGCAACGCCGCGTTACTCGACCGTGTCCTCGCCATGAACGTCCTGCCTTACTGGACGTACTCATCTTCTGACTTGGTTGAAAGAATCCAGTACAAGTGGGGTCGAGCTACTGTAGGACTTTTCCATCATACTTTCACTGCCGCAACGACAATATGCAACATTTACAGTTAGTTACTAGCATAAGAGCTTTGACATACAGGACTAGACTGGGCAACCTCACATGGACACTCTCCACGCCTCGCCGATGATTACTGTATTTCGTATTACACCAGAAGTTCTGGGGCTTCCATATCTTCAAATTTGAAGGGCTAAATGTAGCTTCACATCTGGGATCTGCAGTACCTCACGGATGTGTGCAAACCCGAACTGCTGCAAGTTGGATGCAACCCCACACTTAAAATAAGACTTCGCAGTCACCAGGCCACGGACATCCGATGATCCTTGTTGTGTAGGCTCAGAGGTTGAACTCTTCGAACCAGGATCTGATGAGTCCAGCAAGGGGTGTTCCAGATTGGCGGGTGCTGATTCGCCACGCTATTGGTACATGAAGTATTTGGTCTGAAATGTTGACTTGTCCATGATCTGACGAGCCCAAACGTGGTTGTTCCAGACGCATGTCATCATGCAAATTCTGCGGTGGAAATAACCGAGCGCCTTTCATGCATGTGATGACTGGGGGGTGTTCCACTCCACTGGACCTAGGCGCCGGGCTGTGAAATATGTTGATTATCGATATCACCCCCATCCTCTGAAGAGTGCTGGTAACTTACCTGTCCGTGGTCTAATCCAGGCCCAAAGGCAGACATGCGCGATCATGCAAATTTTGCGGTGGCAATTAGTCGAGCGTCCTTCGTGTATGTAATGATCCGAGGGTGCTCATGGGTTCCACTCTGCCGGAGTTAGGCGGCAGGCTATGAAATAGGTTGATTATCGATACCATCCCGTTCTTTGTAGGGAAAGTCATTCAATTAATGCTCAGTGCTTCGCTGGATGAGGCATCTCTGACCCATTCCTAGCGCCAACTTTACGCCCGTCAAATTGTCTAGCAAATTGTTCCATCAGGCTCACCTTCAGAGCATGACATTCCAGTCCCAGGCTGCCCTTGTCAAGGATTCGACCCCCACGTCTTCGAGGATAAAAGGGCTGAGTGTCTTGACCGGCTGATAACCCAGAGTCAAGTCTCTCTTCGCCTCGTCATCAGTATGGCTTCCGCTAATAACATACCTGCTTTCCAATCATCAATCATTTCTGCCAATGCGAACGACACTAGTAAAACGCCCACCATTGGTGTGAAGCCTCATCAGTACCCCTCGGTAGCTCTCGTGCCACGTCCGAGGGGCTCTGGCATTCAGGCCGTGCTCGTAAGTCTCTCACTGCAAGGTATCTCGTACGCCTACCGTGTGGTTGACTCCGGGTTTCCAAAAGTTCACTTTCCAAGGACAAGCGGCTGAAAATCAGTATATGATCAAAGTCGGTGATATGACAACCGGAGCGACAGCGGACACCACTCCGCTCGTCATTGCATCTTAGTCGGGAAACCAGATCTGGACCCTTAATCACCACACCCATCCGCAGCGGGGTGTCGTTTATACGTGAGCTCCGTATTCCAATATGAGTTCTCGAACGCTCGATCATACATTGCACTTGCAGCATCAAGAGGGCCGTGGGCTCCACATACCGAGCGTGGACTACAGACACTACCAATGGCACTGTGGGGTCGAATTTATCTTTCCAAGAAATCATACCATATTTACCAAATATTTCCTTCAGATTTACCATTCGACCCTGGGCTCGACCCCGACTGACAATCAGTACTTCAAGTTTGAAATTTGACGGCCTTTAACAGGGAGACGAGGAAGCTGAAAACAGGATGTGAGAACAAATGTTAGTTGTGTAAGAATAGTTAGGATGACCTCTGTCTTGTGTGCCTGTCGCATGTGTGCCCTTGTGAAAATCCAAGTTGTCTGTGCAACCGTCTTAGTGATTGGGAGCCTCGGTCAGCAAAACTCGTATTCACCATCCATCGTTGGTCCCGTGGCGAGTACAGATATGTTGTCAGATTCCGTTACAGCAGTTTGCATAAATAATGTCAGTAGCAAAATATTTGTGAGCGCGTCGTGAGCTCATGTCAAAAAGCATCACTGGCCAACGTGGGGATCGAACCCAAGACCTTCGCGTTATTAGCACGACGCTCTAACCAACTGAGCTAGTCGGCCCACATTGCGAAATGCATTACGTCCGACTACGATCCTAACAGCGATGAGCATCGCATTACTTGCTATACGATCGTAGCTTTCAATTACTGCCACGGATCCGGGCACAGACACAAAACATGCATGGGACCAATAGACTCTTGCAATGCGAGGTTCGCCATCCTCACCAAAGCTCCCTGCGAAACACGACTGGGTATGTGTCACATTCACGTATAGGGTAAAGGACAAGTACTTGTCGGAACAGATGATGGCAACATAACCCACCGGGAAAAAAATATGTAGCAGATACATGAAGTACGATACATTCATGGGTTCAGGCCGAGGTGATTGAATGACGGGTTCTCCACTATCCTCTGGGGCAGCAGGGACGGGATTATCCGCCGTCATTAATTCTGTTCCTCCGCCTTCCACTTCTGCACCCATGTCTGCTTCTGTCTCCACTTCAGCTATCGCTCGTCTAGGAGGCAAAATGAGAAGAATAACAAGAAAACAGAGAGCGCGTACCGGTACGCGTCCCGACAGTCCTTCCCGACGCTACCCGTCTCCCAACGTCGACGACGTGACTGTGGCGCCAACAGTTCTGAGTCCAGTTCTTAGCCCGACAATAAGTCATACATTATGACGCTGCATCTGTAACATTAAACAAACAAAAATAAAACAGCTGATTGCGCGACTTTTGCAGTAACACGCACTCCTCGCCCATTCCTCGGGACTCGTTTCGATGCTACTGTACATAACCCATGTAATAATGGGTATTTTGCCAAGAAATGGGCCCAAATTCGCTAGGCCAGTGATGACTTGTGGCGCGGAGCGCGGTCACATGAATTTGCAGGTGGCGATGCCGTGGGAATTTCCCGAAGGAGCAATCCCGCCACCAGGTGGGAGGGGCGGAGGAGGGGGTCGAGCGTTCGAGCGGGCCCTGTGGGGCATCACGGCCTCGTGGATTGGGCGGGATGACTGGGGAGGGTGCCGACGAACTGTGTTCACGTCCTGCCTACGTTTATCTATTTTATCTGCCCTCCTAGCTAGTGCAAAGTGGTACAAGGTGGCTGTGTTAAAAATTATGCAGGGGTAGTATAAAAAGTTGCGCAGGAGCAGTGCTGCAAAAGTCGCGCATTCAGCTGTTTTATTTTTGTTTGTTTAATGTTACAGATGCAGCGTCATAGCGTCATAGGGATGATGTCGATAATCAACATATTTTATACCCCCGTACGAAAGGCGCTCGGTTATTGCCACCGCAAAATTTGCATGATCACACATGTCGAACAACCACGTTTGGGCTCGTCGGGCCATGGACAAGTAGGCCAACACTTCAGACCAAATATTCGTGTGCCAATAGCATGAAGAATCACTGCTGGAATAGACCTACCAATCTGGGACACCGTTGCTGGACTGGTTCAAAGAGTTCTACTCCTGAACTTACACAACAAGGATCATCGGATGTCCGTGGCCTGGTGACTGCGAAGTCTTATTTTACTGTCAATGTGGGGTTGTGTCCAACTTAAGTTTGCACACATGTGAGGTACTGCAGACCCCAGATGTGAAGTTACATTTGGCCCTCCAAATCTGAAGATCTGAAAGCCCCAGAACTTCTGGTGTAATACAAAATATGGTAGTTGTCAGCAAGGCGTGGAGGGTGCCCATGCGAGGGTGCCCAATCTGGTCTTGTACGTCAAAGCTCCTATGCTGGTAGCTGACTGTAAATGTTGCATTTTATCGTTGCGGCAGTAAAAGTATGATGGAAAATGAGTACGTCCAATGAGGTTACAATAGACCTCTGCCCCCTAAAGAATCATCCAGGCACAAGTTTTTTGTCAGTTTCAGACTGGAATACGAAATGCACCTGACTTTCGCTCGAACGGCAGGTTGTTACAGCCACGATGATGTTATCTGGCACGTTGCCAGAGATGGTGGAGCAGAGAATTTCAGGGGACCATCAAACTCGCCTCTGTAACCCTCAATAACAAACTATGTAGCAGTTGTTTGTGGTGACTGCGCGGTCTCTCGGCAGTCACCTGCACAACTTTCCAAGGGCTTGGCTCGCCGTGTCTACAGGTATGAGTACACTCGCAAACATCAGAATTAGCTTTCCAATCGAAGTGCGTACATGGCGGACACCCGATGATCCTTTTGGTGTAAGTTGAGGAGTAGAACTCTCCGAACCAGGATCTAATGAGTCCAGCAAGGGTTGTCCCAGATTGGCGAGTGCTGTTCCACCTGTGTTCGCCATGCTATTGGCACATGAATATTTGGTCAGAAGTGTTGGCTTACTTGTCCATGGTCCGGCGAGCCCAAACATGGTTGTTCCAGACATGCGTGATCATACAAATTTTTGCGGTGGCAATAACCGAGCGTCTTTCGTACATGTAATGATCGGGGGTGTTCATAAGTCCCACTCCATCGGGCTTAGGTGCCGGGCTATGAAATATGTTGATTATCGATATCACCCCATCCTCTGAAGTGCTGATAACTTACCTGTCCATGGTCAGATGAGCCCAAAGGCAGACCTACACGATCATGCAATTTTTGCGATGAGAAATAATCGATTAATCGATCGCCTTTCTTGCATGTAATGATCCCGGAGGGCGTGTTCATCTCTTCCACTCCGCCGCGCTATGAAATAGTCGGTTATGGATATAACGTCACGATGTTCTGGTGCTCATTGCTTCCGTGGCAGGTTGGCGAAAGTGGGATGCGAGTGGGACGATCCAAAGCGGACCTATGTGCAATACGGTAGGTCCGAACAATTGGCGCTGTAAGTTGCAGAGAGTAAAAGGTATATGACGTCGTACATACTTCTAGTCAGTGATTATCAGACTGAGGAGAGGAGTTGGCTTTTCAGTTTTGCCGTATTTTTAGATGGAAGACGAAGGGCCTTGTGCATGGAGGAACGGTCAGCAGGAGAAATAACAAAAGATTACACAAAACATGGATATGCAAGCCTTCGGAGATAACTGGTACACCAGTTGACCGCGCCAACATGCTGAACTCATTGGTCGGCCTGTGAAATACTTACGATTGAGCTGGTGACCGTCGTCGGATTATGCGATGACCCTAATGACATTAATGACCCTTGTGCTTGTTGATTGGCATAGATTGCTCAAACAGTCACATAGGTGTGTCTTTTCACACACCTTTCAACTGAAAAAGGCCTCGTCACGATCTCGGCGGATTTCATTGTAGTTCAAGGAAAGTTCGAGGGTTCTGAGGGGGTTAGAGGCTGATAGACGCGGTGAATGTTCAAAGTCTCATCGGTATTGGAAATGTTCGCTGACCTTCTAATTTGGACTCCAGCGTTGCATAACAAACCCGTACATCATCCACTGAGCTGGAGTTCGAACATTCAACTTGAGCGCAAACCTACCAGGACTCGGGAAAGAGCGAGGGGACTCCTGACGTCAAAGCCTAGGGCATTCCTTCAGCCCCCGTTCCACCAAGGGCTCAAGTGGCGGGAAGGTGTCGACTTTTCGGAGAAAAGAACGGATGAGGGTTGCTTTCTATCTTAGAAGCGGTCGGCAGACACGTCCGCAACGGTCAGTGCCGCGATTTCGTTTGAGAAGAACCTTACTGTAGCGAGGCTGACATGCCCTTTTTTTCGGATAGTAGCTAACAATTTCTTCCAGTCCCTCGGTGAGCGCGGATACTGGTCAGGCGGCGCCTTCTTGATTTCAATTCCATCCATTCCTGCCTCGGGGAGCTCTTGGTTTGTGAGCTGTTACAAGCTAATGTACGAGTCTGGCAAGCAGAATTTCCATCAGAAGCCCCCGATATGGCAACAACGGCACATACACCTGCTCCCTGGTATCTAATGGGTCCCTGAAGCACCCCAAAGTTTGTAGTTTGAAAAAACGTGAAATGGGGTGTTCATCAGGTGCCAAAGCCGAGCCAAGTTCACGGTGTAAATTCCAAGTCATGCATTCGAGAAGTCCATCGCAATGGTGCCGACTGCTGGGACAGATAAAAAGGGTGCGCTTCACCGCTTGGCTCCCTCTGACTTGTGCATTTCTCGCCATCGTTTGAGTTCCGAAACGCTACAGGACAGTACGTACAATTCTCTGCCCTGATCTCTAACTACATTTTTTTGTTCCACCCACAGTCATCGAACAATGTTTGGAGGCGAAGGAATCTACTGGATCCGGAACAAGTCACTGTCGAGCAAGTTTATTGATATCGGTAACAACCCCTATGTTCATGGCAGCGAACGCGGTTCCAAGCCGATTGGGCTTTTAAGCCCCAAATTGACTCGTCCGCAGCTCTGGCTTGTAGAGCAAGTTCAGGATGGCGAGTCCTTCATCTTCCGTAACTATGATACGGGTACCGTGCTGGATATCCAAGACGAAAGCCCCAACAATGGTGCCTCTGTAATTGTTAAGTCGTACGCGTACACCGGTGAGAGGGCGAGCTCCCAGCATTGGCAAGTCGTCTGGGTCAGCGACGACAACAAGTATTTCACCTTATTCGTCTCTCAGACTTCCGAAATGACTGATATGGAATTGCAGGATTCCCTACTACCGTATCACCAACCGGAAGACTGGGACTGTCCTGGACCAAACCACGGATGGGGGCGGGTTTCCTATAAAATCCTGGCAATTCCACGGCGGTCAGCATCAACTCTGGTGCTTTGAACGCGCTACCTTCCCAACCATGTATTGGCTTGTTAACATCTCCTCGCAACTGTGCCTTCAGTACAATGCTAGTACCAACCACGACGCCTCCCTGAATTCCAAGACCAATTTTCCGTCTCGAGACCAACTTTGGTATCTGGAGAGCTTGGAAGACTATGACGGTTATTGCAGGATTCGTCACGTGGATTTGGAAGATCGAGTCCTTGATCTTTCTGGTGATGATAACACGACTATCAAAGTATGGACTGAAGGAGGAAGCAACAACCAGAGGTGGAAAATAACTGACGTTGACATGAATGGGTAAGCAATTCTGCGGTACGCGTAAATATATATATTTCATTCCACGCATACAGCGCTGTGAGCATTGTCTGTGCGCGGAATAACACAGTCCTCTATGCCAACAAGAGACGAGAAGTGTGGTATCCGCGTGGTGCAACTGATGCAGCGACTTTCGGTGGTCATTACCAATGGCTCCTCGTTCCCTGCCCTATACCCTCTCTCTTTTGGACCGTAAGTACCATATCCTCTGAGATATTTACGTGCTTATCCCGCAACAGGCTGTGCAATGTAGGGGTTCGGGGAAGTTCGTGGCTCAACCCGGTGGTAGCATCACGGCTTCCGACGGTGCTCGGGGAGAGGTTGATTATACAGTCCAATGGCGCTTTCTAACACAGGGTCGCAATCCCTATTTCACTATCATTAATCGCCAGACAGGCAACTCTCTGTACAATTCGTCTGGGTCTTCCCTTGCTGCGGACAACAATCCCAATTCCAACAAATATTACTGGGCCCTTGATGCTGGTGGGGAAGACTACAGCATCACCAATATATCCACCTCGAATGTCATCACATGGAATAATGGTAACATTCAAGCGCTCCCTGGCGGAGCAACAGACGCGAACCGCCAGTGGTTCATTAATGCGGTGACTGTCTTTCACGTTCCGTGTTGTTTCATATTTCTAAGCATCTCTTCAAGTCGTTGCAATCAGTACCATCGTTCGCTCTCATCAACGGGAGAACAGGAATGGCGCCCACCCACGTTCCCCGTGAACCTGTCATGACGGACGGAGCTTTCAACTCCTACCGATGCCACTGGATCTTCCAGCAAGTCGGAACTGACGCGAATGACCGACAAGTCTACATTATCATCAACAAATTGTCCGACAATGTACTGTCCCACCGGAATGGAGCGATTGAGGCTGTCGACAACGTTCCCACTGACACCCGTAATCAGTGGAGGCCAGTACCTTGCCACAAGCGATACTTCGCTTTCGTCAATGTCTCCACTGGCGAATATCTCAGTGATCCAGGAACAACTGGTTCCCGTGATCCTAATGACTTCATGACGGACGAAGATCGCCGATGCTGCTGGACCCTCGTGTCCCATCGGGATTCTATCTACGACACGATCGCCCTTGATACTGACATTACGAGCCCGCGCCTGGGCTCTCACCATATTGTCAAGAGGGCCCCGAAAAAGACTCCTAAGGGGAAGGGCAATGCCAAGGCCCAACCTTCCCACATCCCTGACAATCCTCGGATCACCCAAGTGACTAATCGTGTCCTCCGAGTCATTGTCGAGCGCCTCATTGGTCAGTTGGATTTCGATAGAATCAATGATCAGCCCGCACGTACTCTAGCATCGACTTTGCGAACTGAGGTTGTGAGAGATTGGCGTATTGATGTCCCCCGATCGATTCAGGCTGGATGGGAGCGTCCGGGCTGGTGGGATTTCTGGCTACTCGAAGGTGTTCTACCATTGACCCCGTTATCACTAGGGTTCGTATTGACCTCCAAGGGACCTATCACGACCAAAATGGGGTCAGGGTAGCAAATATTCAAGGACAATGGAATGACGACACGTGCGCTGCTCCGCGTTTCATGCCTGTGCCCCGATAGGCTACAAACTTTCTTCTCACAGAATATTCCACGTCATCGTTCCAGTTGGTGTCGACTTCGGTCGTGAGACAATTCGTCGCGCTATGATCGAAAGTCTTCAAACGGCGACCTCTGTGCGGCTCGACGCCCCTGATAACGCTACTCCCAGTGGTTCCAGGACACGGCCTACCACGTATGTCTTCGTTTCACTACCTCCACATTGATGCATGATTTCATATTTGGTAATCTAGGACGCGGAGACCTCCTGGTCCTGGTGCACCTCCTGCAGGTCAATTTTGGGCAGCCACTGCGATCCAGATTGTCGGACTTGGATTGATGTCTCTTCTCTTGTTGTGAAGCCATCCGAAGTAATCCAAAATATTCAAGATGTCTCCTGTCCATTTGTACTCCAGTGAATGATCGTTTGTAGGATACTAAACAGAAAATAGTTACCATCTACCTCATGATATTAGCTCTACCTGTTGTCTCGGGCTTTTGAGCCAATGTAATCAATATGTCATTGCGAACACGACTCCAAGCAGAGGCCGGAGGACGTCAGTCCTCGAGGTGAAGTGCAGGTCATCTGGGCTCAACGAATCACTTCCTCAGTTCTAGTACAAAAGAGTAGATAGATGAAATACAGTATATCATACATAAATATTACAAGGTTCCCTCAACATTCATGGATTCAGGTTGTGATTGAATGATGGGTTCTTCACTATCCTCTGGGACAGCAGGCCCAGGGACGGGATTGTCCGTCGCTATTGGTTCCATTTCTCCGCCTTCCACCTCTGCACCCATGTCTGTTTCTGTCTCCATTTCTGCTATTGCTCGTCTGGGAGGTAAAATGAGAGAAATAATGAGAAAACAGAGAGCGCGTACTGGTATGCGTCCCGACAGTCCTTCCTGATGCTACTTGTCTTCCAACGTTGACGACGTGACTGTGGCGCCAACAGTTCTGAGTCCAGTTCTTAGCCCGAGAATCAGTCATACATTGCCCATGGAGTTGAAGTAATCTTACCTTGGTTTTCGCCCAAGAGTAACAATTTGCTGAGTTCAGCCCATTGCCTACAAAAACACCAGTGATCACAATCGCGTAACACGGGACAATGCATGGATTACCATTGAGATGATTTGTCAAAGAATTGAACGAGGTGTAGTGGACCGCTCTCAGTTCGGCGCATTGTATCTCGCTGCTTCTTCACGACTTTGGGTATTCGTTCGTCATCAGGCTCGTACACTACTGCCGGCCACCATGGATAAGTGCCTAAGAAGAGAATCAGCGAAGCCCTGGTGAATAGGGAATTGACACGCACTAGCTTTCGCCCAAACTACATCAACACAATCAGTACGGGTACCGTATCACCTGCTAACAACGTACCAAGAGTTCCACCCTCCAGCATCTTACCATCCTCAAGAATGATGGTGCCCGGTTCACGGCGGGTGGGTACCGTGGGTGGAATTACAGCCTGTACAGGCTGAGGCAACTGCGTGGGATTCGATTGCTGCTCAGCGCTTTTTGTATCACCGTCACCTCCATCCTCACTTTCCAGTTCACTTAGAGACGATAGATCCGAGTCTTCATGGCTGGGCTCTGAAGCGTTGAGCGCTTGCTGTGCCGCAAGAATAGCCGCGGCCTTTTCCGCTTTCCTCCGCTGTGCCTTTTCTCTGCGAGTCGCCGGAGTATCCAATTCCTCGATAACAATCCTCCCGCGTTCAGTGATAACCTTCGTATGCGGTTCAACTCGTATCGATGCAATGCGAGCTTCTAGTTCTTCTTGGGTCATTTCTGCTTCCTGGACTGTCGCTTCTACGACTGAAGGTCCCGTCTCAGTCATTTGTTCGGTAGATAATGCCGAAGGACCAGCGATTGGTTCGGAGGGTGCGATGTCCTGGACGACATGATGCTCTGACGTAGTCCTGCTGAGCGTTGAAACGTGCGATGTTCCGCGATCTGGAACACGAGAACGTGAAGAATGTACGTCGTGCACAACGCTATGGAACTCACCTATCCGCGCACGCTTTTTCGGTGGTGGTTGCGAAGACCTGTCCAGCATTTGCCGCCCACCTCGCTTCTGGCCACTCGGGAGAATCCACCCAGCGTCAAACATCTTGAAGGAACCCTGATTATCCACATCTTCGACTACTTGTGGAACGACTAACGGGATCTGTGCAGCGGTAGGTACACGCCGCCCTTTCACGGGTTTCTGTACCGTTGCATCATGGATTTCTGCGTCAACAACACTGCCCGCCGCCTCTGCCTCAAAAGCTGCTAGCACAGCATGGGCGCGACGGGTGCGCGGCGCGCGGAAACCAGGTGATATGTCCAAAGCATTTGGTTCTCTGACTTTGGGTACTCTGGCCGCCGCTTTCTTTGGTGCCTTCGGCTTTGGTGGTGGTGGCGGCGGCGGCGGTTTGAGCTGGCCGAGCTCAAAGTTGAACAGGGAAGAGAGGGGATCAGTTTTTAGGATGAATTGATAGTCATTCTGAATTGCTTCCGAAGACCCTAGGAGTTCAAGCAGTTCCAATGGGGGCTCAAGATCACCCATGGGCACATCGAGCGTCTGAGGATCAGGAACAGTGGTGTCAACCACGGAGTCCCGATGAAGGGTTGAAGAAAGATCAGCTAAGATGGGCTGAATACCAGTTTGCATGCGCTGAGCGGTCTTGTAGAAGGGTGTACCAGGCTTGTTATACAAGGTAGCATTTGACAAGACTAACTCGACATCGTTCTGCGAAGGACTGTCAACTCTGCGATCACTGGACGTCGTTTGGAGATTTCCGACCTTAAATGCACCCAAATCCCAGTACTCGTGGTGATCTAATTTCGCGTCAATGATATCCCAACTCATAGGATTCTTTACGACGTCATGATAATCAGGGACCTCTATCTTTGACACGGGGTGCTTAAACAGACCATTGCGATCGAGCCTACACGAAAGTGAGGAGTAATAGAATGACAAAACCGACGAACTCACGCAAGGATTTTCTCAAACGCTAGGCGCATCGGCGCCTCGTGCGGGAACAGAATGACCTCTAGTACCCTGTGGATCGATTCTAATTGCGCAAGCTTACGACTCTCCCGCTTGCGACTCAGCAGAGTAAGCTCGCGAAGCGTTTCAAGGTCCTTTCGGACTCGTCTCAAGTGCTGAATAGATGTTAGCTAGTCAAGGCTGATAACGTCATACCAGCGTACCTCGAGTTTCAAAGCCTTTTCCTCTTCTGTCTGCACTTTCCCAACATTGGAAGCAGTCCAAGGCTCGAGATGGAGCCGCTTTAGAAGTGGGGCTCCCCGCCTTGCCTCTCGTTTCAAGCTCCAGTACTTACATACCATGCATACGAACTCAGACTTCTTTCGGATAATGATTTTGGTAATGTAGTTTAGAATGCGATCAACGATGATTTGTGGGACCAAAGGTGGTCCGGTCTTGTACGTCTTTGCGTACGCTCTCGCAGACTTTGAGAGCTTGGAGTTTGGACTTGACATGACGCCATCCGCGGCCAAAGCTTTCAGTCTAGCCTCTACCTGCTCTTTCTGCAGCATCGGCATATGCTTAGCGGGTGGATAACATACACACGAAGGAATCTCTTACAGAGAGGTGTTTCTCGCAGTAACATGTCAGCGTGACAGGTTCAGAACCTTGCATGCTTTTCATTGGCATGAGTAATTTTTCTTTTCTCGCACAGGTAGCATGAAATGCGAGAAAGCATGACGATTTTGTACACTGAATGCACGCTCCCTCGCGAATGCCACATATTGAACATTTCTGGATGGGTAAGCAAGCGGTATGTTCACTGCGTTAGAGAGAAGGAATGAGGAACTTACTAACTTCCATCTCTGTTTGGGAATCCTTTCGGAACCGGATATCGGTTCCATGAAGACTTCGTTGGCAACACGAGTCTCTGGAATCCAAATGGCACAGAGAAGATGAGCCCAGTCCCCAAGAACCGTTTGCTTGAATGCGCCCCCCTCGTTTGGACAGAATATACAGGACTGTGCGAAATCCGGTGATGAAACAGGTCATGAGGACTCCGGGAGAATCTTACGACAGGATTTTCGGGCGACACCGTACATTTGCGGCAGAGCCACTGACCCTCCGGAATGTATGGAACACCATAACAATCTGGGTAATGTTACATGATAACCAAGAACCTTGGACGTGTGGACGTACCTTGGTGTACAGCCAAGTTACAACCATCACAGAAAACAATTGCGTTGCTATTCTCTCCTTCCGGATCGTCACAGACAGCGCAGGTTGAGTCCTCGGAGGGCATAGCGTAGTCTGGTTTTGGGATATTCTTGGTCTGCAGGAGGAGTTCGCATGTTGCTGGGCACGAGACGCGAGACACGAATGAGACTTGCCAAATCAAAGTATTCCTTCTCTAGACGATCCATGATGATCTCAAAAGTCTCGTATGTGACCAAGTTCAGTTGGTCCTTCTTGCGTTCGACGTTGACTGCGTCAAGCCACTCCTGGTCTGTTGAAGGCGTCGAACACAGTGCAGCTCGCGAACGAAACCAGACTTGCCTTGTTCGTCCATATCATATTCCACCTGGGTGGCCAAGTCTCTCTCCAAGGGCTCTACTGTATGTTGAGGTCCGCTGGAGGCAGGCGTCGATGGGGTTGACTCACCTATATAGCGAATGTAATGATCTGGTTTCTGAAACTCCGAGAAGTCGTTGTCTGGTGCATGGTTAGATGCACGTCATACGAAGAAGGTCGATAACAGGAGGACGTACAGCCATATGACCTCGCTTGCAGATCATGGACTCCGGCTGGTTGTGTGGAGTCGTCATTCTGGACGATTTCGAAGGAGACTTTGGGTAACTTGGCTTGCTCTGGCAGTTTCACGCCCCGTGCCATGAATGCAGGACGCCGAAAACAGCGTTGCAAGCAGTGTAAACAGGGGGTGCGAGTCGTTCCTAGTACTCAGTAATAGCTGGAGGCAACGGGGGAATATCGACAAATATGGCAACAGGTTTAGGCTCCGGGTCCAATCGATCTCATTCTAGTTCTGGATTGGCAGCGTCGGCCAACATGTACGCCCCGGCGCGACACAATATTATTGTGTCGCTCAGAGAGACTGTCGTACATCCCCTTACGTCGATGCCAGCCCAATCTCGCAGAACGCTAGTGCTGCATAGGCAATACCGGACGCTGTTCACTTCCTCAACGGGCGTCAAGTCACGCTATCGGCCTCCTCATCTATATAATCGTGCAGCCTCGTATTCGTCTATTCCCAAGCCCATCGTCTGGGGGTTGGGGGTGTCCGTCGCATGTATTGTCGTGGGAGCCGCTGGGATCAGCTACGCAAATTATAAAATCAAAGGTCACCTGGACCTCTATTTCGATGAC